GTCGGCACGACATTGAGGAGATGGGCATGTGTTTTCTTCACGCCCTCCCACCCGGTGATCAGCCCAAGACGGACACATCGGACCCATGCATCATTGACTTTTTGGACAACTATGAGGATGTCTTCCAAGCTCCCGCCGGAGTAGTACCGGATCGGCCCATACGCCATTGGCTTACTCTCGAGGACTGCGTCGTACCTCCACGCGGATGCATTTACCGAATGAGCGAAGAGGAGCTTCAAGTGCTTCGGGCACAGCTAGACGATCTCTTGGCCAAGGGCTGGATTCGCCCTAGCTGTTCGCCATACGGTGCTCCCGTTCTCTTCGTCCGGAAAAAGAACAAGGACATTTGTTTGTGTATCGACTATCGGAAACTTAACGCGCAAACAATCAAGAACGCTGGCCCTCTCCCGCGGATCGATGATCTCCTCGAGCGACTAGGCGGCGCCAAGTACTTCTCAAAGCTTGACCTCAAATCCGGCTATCACCAGATCGAGATCCAGCCAAGAGATCGGTACAAGACTGCATTCAAGACACGGTATGGGCACCTTGAGTGGATCGTCATGCCATTCGGTCTCACCAATGCCCCAACTACTTTTCAAGCGGCTATGACGACGGAATTCCGCGACCTTCTCGACCGCACCGTACTTGTTTACCTTGATGACATCTTGGTTTATAGTTGGTCGCTGGACGAGCACCTTCGCACCGTTTTGGAGCGGCTCCGTATCGCCAAGTACAAGGCGAACCGCGACAAGTACGAGTTTGCCCAGCATGAAGAGCTGGAGTATTTGGGCCATTACGTTACGCCGCAAGGCATTCGTCCGCTCACGGACAAAGTACAAGCCATTCAAGATTGGTCGGACCTCGCGTGCACTACCGACGTCCACTCCTTTCTCGGCTTAGCATCATACTACATGCGTTTCGTCAAGAGCTTCCAACGGGTCGCTGCACCATTGTCGCGACTTCAGTCCCCCTTTGTGCCCTTCGAGTTCAACGACGAAGCCCGACACGCGTTCCATACGCTGAAGACGACTTCGCTTCAAGCTCCCATCTTAAGCATCTATAACCCGACCTTGCCAACCAAAGTGACTACGGATGCTTCCGGCTACGGCATTGGCACGGTTTTGGAACAGCATGATGGCACAGACTGGCATCCGGTTGAGTACTTCAGCCAAAAGGTGCCACCCATCAATTCCCTTGATGATGCGAGGAAGAAGGAACTGCTAGCTTTTGTCACAGTACTTAAGCGTTGGCGTCACTTTCTCCTCGTGCGTCGACGATTCACGTGGGCAACAGACAACAATCAGTTGACTTATAACAAGACGCAAGACACGATGAGCAGCACGATCGGTCGTTGGATGTATTTCATTGACCTCCAAGCATATTTCGGGCCCCTCGAACAAGGCAGTGGATGCTCTCTCGCGAAGACCCGGTCTTTGCGCCTTGGTGCACTCCACATTCGGCCTCGACGAGGACCTGCAACAACATTTCGTAAACGGCTACAAGTCGAATCCGGGATTCTCCACACTCTACGCGGACTTATCATCGGATCACCCGCCGGCAAGCAATTATCGCATTGTCGACGGCTACTTGCTTCTCCATACGCGAGGCAAGGATTTGTTGTGTGTTCCCCAAGACCGCATCTTGCGCACTCGCCTCCTTGGCGAATACCACGATTCGCGGTTGGCGGGACACCTTGGCGTCGCACGCACACTGGCACGACTCCCCCGGCGATTTCAGTGGCCGAACATCATCAGCGACGTCAACCGGTACATTTAGTCATGTGCAGTTTGCCACCGGAACAAAGGGCGCCATCAGCTCCCGTACGGCGAACTAAAACCATTGCCGATTCCTCGGGAACCAGGTCTCTCTATTGCTATGGATTTGACCGGTCCTTTCCCTCGCGATGATGGTATTCTCACGGTCGTTGACCGTTTGAGCAAGTACGCTCAATTTCTTCCATGCAAGTATCATGCGATGGCTCCCGAGCTAGCACGACTTTTGCATACCGGCTGGTTTTGCAGCCACGACGTTCCGGAAGACATCGTCAGCGACCGCGACACTCGTTTCATGTCAGCCTTTTGGACGGCACCCATGGTGGAATCCGGCACCAGCATGAAATCGAGTTCGCACGACATCCTCAAATGGATGCGGAACGTGCGCACCAGACTGCGCAGCTGATGCTCTGCACACTCATCCGCCCGGATCAAAAGGACTGGGTTGACCGTCTTCCCGACATCGAGTTCGCCTACAACACTTCGGTGCACCCGGCAATCGGCGTGACTCCATTCGAGTTGCATCACGGTGGACGGAAAGGTCGTATCTTCGCAGACATTTTGCTTCCACGGGCTGCCGATATCGACGCCGCTTGCTCCCCCGCTTCCACACGGAAGTATAGGGATCTGCTGGCCAAAGCCCGCGCAAATATGCAAAAGACTCAGGTCTGTATGCAGCAGCAAGCGAACCGGCATCGTATCCCATGTCCAATCCGCGTTGGCGACCTTGTTTGGGTCACCTCCGAGGAATTCGCGCTCGAGCAGCACGTCTCGCGCAAGCTCCTCCCTAAGTGGTTTGGGCCATGGAAGGTCACTTCAGCAGCTGGCGACGACCCCGTAGGTCCCTCCTTCGTAATCGAGATTCCCCCGCATCTGACAGTCCACCCTGTACTTCATGCTTTGAAGCTGGCAGTCTACACTCCAGCCTCACGAACAGAATTCCCAGGCAAACGGTCCCACGACCCTCCTTCGATGGACGGTCACCAGGAGGTCAACCACGTCCTCGTTCATTGCAAGCACAACAACAAGCCGCTGCAGTACAAAGTTACATTCAAGCAATTCGATCCCGACGACACACGCTGGATTTCACGAGCTGACCTGAAGGCAACAGCACCCCTCACCCTCGCACATTACGAAAAACAGCGACTTGCTAAGGGAGCTGCCCAACCCGCCCGCCCGTACGCACATCGGACAGACAGCTTCGCCCTCGCAGTTAGCTCGGTCTTCAAGGGGGGGAGTGTGTGGCATACTGATACCACACGGGCCCCAGTTACGGCCCGGTTCTGTAGTAGGCACGGGTTAGGCCTACCGGGTCACGACGGTCCCAGCTAGGTCCAGGTCGGCCTAGGAACCATCGGTTCAGTTTAGGGTCTGGTACGCCTCGTTTAGACCTCACCAGACCCAACGGCTAGTTGGTTAGGCCAGGTACCGTCCATCGGTAGGACCGGCCGGCGGCGCAGTTTAGGCGCCACTTTTCAGATTTCGAAATCGGATGTGAACC